AGTGAGAGTGGTTCTGCTTTCACACACTTCTCTTATAATCCAGTGCACACACACGATTTTATAGTTGCACTTTTTACTGCAGCCATTTACTTTGCTATACCCCCTAAAATATACGTATAATAAAAAAAAGAGCATATAATAATGGTAACACCTCCTGCAGTATAAATCAGAGGGGTCACTGGGTGATTGAGGAGATATTTTCTGATTTAAATTATTTTTCTCTCCTCTAAAAAATCCTTCCAGTTAAACAGTCTGAAAAGATAAATGTACTTTTCGTTTCAGCTGCTCAGAACTTGTATCAGCACTGAAGCATTAATGTGTATTGAAGGCTCACAGGTTGCTTTATTATAAGGGGTCACAAGCCAAAACGTTTGTACTTAAATTATGCATATTTAAATTTAGGTTGTTATGTGCATTGTGCAAAAAAAACAAACATGGTTTGCTTAGGGCTACATTCAGAATTGTTAGTTTTTAAAATGTTAATCTGCTGCCACGCTGTGCTATAAAGGATATCACTCCCAGGGCTTCAGCAGGTGGCACCAGTGACTCACTCGCTCCAGTGTTTTCTGACCTTTGTGTCAGACCGCAGGAAGCAAAGGCATTGCAGTGCTTATCTTTTGTTGGCTGATACGTTAGCTGGCAGTGATACGTGTATAGGACTGCGCTGGGCTACTATCAGAGGAGTCATGTGTAATTGTACAGCTCTGTTCATTGTGCAGTTATTTTGTTGTGAATGCTTTGTCCTGGAGATAGAGTAAAATACACTTAAAAAACACAGTGAAATCAATCAATTCATGTTATGAAATTATTAACCAAGCTGAAGTAAATGACAAGTAAGATAGAATGACATCATTATTATAACCTGGGATTCAGTAACGTAACCGGTTAATGTACCGTGTGTTTCATGCAGGGAAACAGAGGGTGTACCAAGCACGGCCATCCGAGAGATTTCACTTCTCAAAGAACTAAGTCATCCAAATATCGTCAAGTAAGTTCCTAATGTTACGACTTTCAGCTAAATCCTGCTTACAACGTTCTCCTGTTACCTTCTGCTTTAAAGCCAACCTGCCTGTTATTGTTTTAAAGACTGCGGGACGTCATCCACACCGAGAACAAGCTCTACCTGGTTTTTGAGTTCCTTCATCAGGATCTAAAAAAGTTCATGGACTCGTCTTCGGTCGCTGGTATCCCACTGCCTCTGGTTAAGGTAAACATAAACTACATTTTGCCAAACAAGATCTGTCTCGATCTTTTCAAGAAATCACTTGACTTACCATTGTATACATTTCCCTGTTTTTAGAGCTATCTGTTCCAGCTGCTGCAAGGCCTGGCCTTCTGCCACTCTCACAGGGTTCTTCATCGAGACCTGAAGCCCCAGAACCTCCTCATCAACGCCCAGGGGGAGATCAAGCTCGCTGACTTCGGCCTGGCGAGAGCTTTCGGGGTGCCTGTCCGCACATATACGCATGAGGTAACATGTACAGCCACCTTGTTGATCAGGCTTCTTTAGAAAAATACTTTAAAGTGTATATTTATAACCATGCCCAGCAGTCGAGTACACTACCTCATGGATCCTCTACCAAACCTGAATTATCTGGTTGGTAATATCGGCTAATGGCAGAAATATCTCCCTCTACTCAAGCTTATCATTTTTATTTCTTGGCTTGTATGTCACTAAACTAAAGCTGTTTCAGGAGGTTTTTGTTGATAATTTTTTGTTTCCTTTTTCTGAGAAATTGTGCTAATCACAAACTTTCGTCTGTGATATTTTTCAGGTGGTAACACTTTGGTACAGAGCGCCAGAAATTCTCCTGGGCTGTAAATACTACTCCACAGCTGTCGACATCTGGAGTTTGGGGTGCATCTTTGCTGAAATGGTAATGCACCCAGTTTCATCTTTTACAAAAAGCTCCACTGTGACTATATGAAGCCTGATGCACAGTGGATCCAACATAACGTCTAACCAGCACACTTAACTCACTATCTCACTGGTTGCACAGATCACCAGGAGGGCCTTATTCCCCGGCGACTCAGAGATCGATCAGTTATTCCGAATCTTTCGCACCTTGGGCACCCCCGATGAGACCGTCTGGCCTGGAGTCACGTCAATGCCGGACTACAAACCATCGTTCCCCAAGTGGGCCCGGCAGGATCTGTCCAAAGTGGTGCCTCTTCTTGATGACGATGGAAGAGAACTGCTTGGAGTGAGAACATTTCTTTCATTCATAGATTAATATAGATTATATATAGAGATAGATTCATATGTTTGTTTGTGTGTTCGTCAGCAAGATCAAAAGACAATATTAAGATGTTTGTTAAATATGTTGAAAAGACCACAGGGTCAAGGAACAAGTGGTTAGTCTTCGTGTGGATCCATTAATGTTTTGAACACTTTTGAACTTAACAGTAGCTCAGTAGTTCTGTTCAGTTCTTACTGTAAGAACGTGAAGCGGAACGGATAAACTTCTTAAAAGCTCCCTTTTATTTTGTCAGTCAATCTAGCTGATGCCGAGTGGAACGGACTCGCACCGATCTCTTTGGCGTTGTAATGAACCTGAGTCACTCATCATGGAGTTAAAGTCAGTGCTAGGTCTATACTGGTACATTAAGAGTGTTTCGTGAGCAATTCCTGTCAAAAAGTCCTGGAAAAGTCCTGGAAAATGATTTCTGAGAGAGTTGGAAACCTGCGTCGTAAATTACACGTTTAAAGTGTTTCCACAGACATACCATACCATAGTTTGAAACAAATCGCTGCCGTCTGACCCGGCAAAGCTAACTGGCACGCTACAGCTGATAGACAACAACTGGTGCGCTGCCAACACTTTCCGGGTAAAACTCGAGCTCTATAATTTATGTTCCACGATGAGCGCTCGACATAAATAGGGTGTGTTGACAGTAATTGTTTAGGTCACAGGGCGTACCGAACGTCCCATATTGAATACACGTACTGTTGCTTCACTACTAAGAAGTACATTGGTTTTTCACTACATCGTACAAGTATATGAAAGCTTTATAGCAATTAGTTGATCAACCAATAAGCCACCATAGAATTAATCTGTAATAACTTTACTTATCATCAGTGTCATTTTTCAAGCAAAAAGGGAGATTCTTTAAATGTGAGGATTTTATCTTTTTCTTTGTCATATCCGATTATATTTAATCTAAATTTGGGCTGTGTTGAAATTATAACAAAGATTTCCCACTATTTTGTTACGTTTTACAGACTAAATGATTAATCAAGAAAACAAACAGCACATTAAACAAAAATGAAAAGACTCATTATTAGATACACTGACTGTATTTCTCTGTTTCTATCTTTGCAGGAAATGCTGAATTACGATCCAAACAAAAGGTTATCTGCCAAAAACGCCCTTGTACATCGATTCTTCCGTGACGTCACCATGCCGATCCCTCATCTGAGACTCTGAGTCAAGCCAAAATATCTTCCGGCCATTTTAATGCCAACAGTGTCTAAGCAATAAGGACCTCCTCGCCTCGCTTTCATGTCCACGACTGGAATGGACAGGAAAAGTGGACACTACAGGATACGTTGGATCCTTTAATGAATATTTGTTGATACCTAAAACCAGCTTTCTTGACGGCAGATGTCCTGAGAGTTTTGCTGGGTTTTTTTCAGCCATTATGTTACAATAGTTATGGACGTTTAACTGTAATCTTCAAAAATCATTATTTTGCATATTTATGTGCAACTGCCATTTTTGATGTAAATGTTATTTGTTATTAGGATGTTTCTCCGACTGAGACACATTCTAGTTTTCTGCCATTAAATGTCCCAATGTAAACGTTCAGTTGGCTTTAGGATGTCCAAATTCAAATAGTCAAGTAGTTAGAATTAAATATGATTGAATGAGTTTGTGGGATAGTGCAAATAACAAATGTGATGCTTTGTAAGCTGAATGGAAGACGTAGTGGCGGCTCTCACTACGCGTCACACAGCAGACATCGTCAGCTGATGTAAAACAGTTGGTTGAGGCTGATTTTCTTACAGTTAAATTCATGAATTGGATCTAAAGTATCTTGAAGTGATTTTAGAAACGGCACCTTTTGGTTGTTTAACACAGAAATTGGTCATTGGGGTTTGCTGGCAGGATTGTACAGTTATACAAATGTTCCCTGTTGTAATTCAGATTTTACAGAATTGTGCTGTTGCATCTTTCTTACTCTAGATTTTATTCAAACTTAATGAACCGTTTTTATGAATATTGTTTATTTACAGTTTGAAAAAAAATAAACTTGTTTAAATAACTGTTACTGTTCTTATGAGGATCATTCTGGTCTAAAGTTCACACTACAGCTGGTTCATGTGAAAGGTCAACATAGTTAATGATGTTTTCTTCAGTTCTGGAGCCAAGTGAAACAATTAATGCCCGTTAGTTTGTGAGACTCAAATACCAGAGTTAAAAGCTGTCTGGCGTTGTTAAATCAAATTATTGTTACACTTCATCAATCTTTGGCTGGACAAATACACAGGCCCATTTCTACTGCTGGCACCACATCAGATGTTAAACTGGTTAGTTTTTAAAGGACGTGGTTACATTTTCTCCTCTATTGAGGCCACAAGCTGAAAGGAGCCATTTATGTTGTTAGGCTGTGATGATGAAGTAACAGTTTAATAGGGCTAATTTTGAACCTGTGTGAGTGAAATAATGCCAAGAAATACATGACAGCTTGACAACTAAAATGATGGGAAGTATAAGCAAAGTATGCTAAAGGTGATATTTTAATTGTTTTCAAGACACACAAAATGAACATGTAGTAAATTAGGCTTTAAAAGGGGAAAGTAGGCTTCATATGCATATAAACAAACAATATAATGTCTGTAATAACTGATTTATACTCTGTTTTAAGTGTAATATTTGTCATTCTCTGCAAACCTATTTTAGATATTCAACACACTGCTCTTTCACCTCTGGATGCCACGATTTATGAGTCTATTTTCACAGGTAACTGAAAAAAAGCTGCACAAAAAACTCATGAAATACAAATAAATGAGTTTTTATTAGTCAGGCCATATTTAGACGTTATGTCAGTCAATACAGTTCCCCTTAAAGAAACAAGAAGAGATGTACAGTAACAGAAAGTCCGCATAGAAAATCAGACTCACAGAGAAAAAGTAATGCCATGCAGTGCTGTTTGTCTTTTTTTATGTTAACACTGAGGCACGCCAAAGTCTGAAATGTTTAAATGGCTCTAATGTTTGTATCTGTGCATAGAAAAAGACTCCTTGTGTTAACAGTTGTTTATTTTCATAATGAACAATAATTAGAGGCAGACATAAGAATAGATGATTGTGGGAAAATGAAGAAGCAAACAGTAAGAAATAGATATGTTATATTCAGATATAAATTAATGAACAATTGCATTATATGAGAGGCGTAATTCAAATAGTGGTGCTCTTTGTTACTTTTGGTGATTTCATTTAGTTAAACACATGTGCTCAACTTGTGGAAAAAAATACCCATAATGCATAGAAAGAGAAATATAACAGTACTAGCCAGCTAGCTGTTTCCACTCACGTATCCCTAATATCCGTGTTATATTTATTGAGGCTCTGAGGTTGCCATAGTGACAACATTGCTGTGGTTGCATTATAAGTGACAACACCATAGATATATTGATTATGGCCGTTTCTTTCATCAGTCTGCACCAAAGGTAGACTGATTAATTAATAAAGCTGTAAAATGAAACTTTTAATTCTATCTTCTGAACTAACTTTTATCTTTGAATATAATAAATGTTAAATACCAACACTAAAGCCTGACTTAGACTGAATTATTATAGATGCTACATATACTGTTACCTTTGTCTTTGATTCCCCATAAAAACAATGCTTCTCAAACTCAAGGGCTTTTCCTGGCAGTGTACACAATTAAACAACAAATAAAGAGTGCTTTCAATGGATGCTACCAAGATTTATGTATTCAGACAACTAAATGACATGTAAAGTATAAAAAGTGATGATATGTCCTCTATTTGTAATAAACAAGTGCTTGGCTGATTCAACACCATGACCCTAAATTACAAGGTACACCTTTAGAAACTTAAACAAACAGCACAAGAGATCACAGGTAAGTACAGTAAGTTGACGTGCCAGTAGACACTGATAGTGAAAAAGGAAGTGCATTGTATTCTGACTAGAAAAAAGTGTTTGGCAGCAACAAGAAACTGTGCTTCAGATAAAGAAATCACGTAACACAATTTGGAAATACGTCACATCTGCGAGAGCGAGAGAGAGAGAGTATACAGATACAGTTCTACAGTCCAGCACTTCTGCACCTTTTTAAGCGTTTGGATATTCAGACTTAAAGCCTGTACCAGTGATACTGCATTTTACAAATAATCAAAACTTGACTGATCACTATTTTACATGCCATGTTGTGTGTTTGTAATGTTTAGTGTATTTTTCCTAACCTTCATTGTTGTCCATTTATGGTGGCAGACTCTTGTTTTAGATGTTTAATGTATCACACTGAACATCGGTTCTGCACTAGTCTGGACTTAAACTGTTTTAAGTCACAATAATGAAACAGGGGGAAAAATGCTTTGACTTTAAAATGTTTAATATCTTCCCCAAAGCCCAATAATTAAAAAGTGTGCCACGAATCAATTCATGTCCTGAATCAGCTAACGTTAACACAATTTATTTCCAGCAAGTTGACACTTAATTTCCCAGATCCACTTAGTTTGAACTAATCCGACAGCATCCAATCAAGTTGCAGGAAAGAACCACAAAGAACTAATGTTGCCTTGTTCGTACGTTTGGTGAAGAGCACATTACGACCTGTTTAGGACTTGGAACTTGACTGCCTGTCTTGACTTGAGACTTTCACATAAAACAATAACTTGGTCCAACTTCTGCAGCATGCATTAAAAATGATCAGCAATAATATAACTAAAAACACTGGGATGGAACTTTAAGGGGGTATGGGTGTATTTGTGGAAGTATTTGGGGGGATGTTGCGGTGCATTAATTAACTCAAATTTCTAGTTTCTTTTTCATGACAAGCTTGTACAGGATCTGGTAGCCATCATCCCAGGCGTACAGCAGCTGCTCCTGAGGGTTATACTTCAGACTGGAGTGGGCTCCGTAACGCTTTGGAAAGTAAATCAGTGGTGCTTCCTCGTTGGTCACCATACCGTTGACATCGTACACACACTGGACACGAGAGCGACCGGGCTGCTTGGTGTTGTACACCACATACAGAGTGCCGCAGATGACGAAAGCCGCCTCTGCGTTCTCTCTCGGACAGTTTGTGTCCCACATTTGCTCGATGTCCAGCGAGTTGGCGTCCATTTTAGCCAGAGAGATGTGCCTCTCATTCTGCCGTGTGGCATAAATGGCCCACAGGCCTTCCTCGTCCACAGCCAGGTCCATCAGCGTCTCAGGGGTCAGGCCGTACACTGGGACATGGTCCTGCACTGGGAACACTGCGCTGTCTGTCACAGAGCTGTTCTTCATGTCATATTTAACGACCATTATCTCTTCAACCTGATTTATGTAATACGCGTGATTGTTGTAGACCACATGGCCAGTTCCCCTCCAGGAAGACGGCAGCCTCAGGGTCTTGGACAAAGACATACCCAGAGAGCGGGTGAAGTCTTGCACAGTCGCAAACTCGTGGATAGTGTCTTCATCTGTCCCGTTAAATATGTAGACCTTCTCAGAGCCCCTGCTGGTGTCTTTGGTCCACATGCCCTTTGGCCCTCCTACTCGCTTCAAGATCTTCATGGCTTTTACGCTGGAGATCATGTCGCTGCAGTCTGAAAACGAGAGAGTGACAGACTTTACATGATGGGCGACACTCTCCAACAAAGGTCATGTCATCATTTAAAGGTCCAGTGTGTAACATTTCGCAGAATCTATTGGCAGAAATAATGTTCCAAGGTATGTTTTCATTAGTGTGTACTCACCGGAAATTAAAAATTGATTTGTTTTTGTTACCTTAAAATGAGTCTGCAATGTTAAACCGCCATGTTTCTACAGTAACATAGAACGGACAAACCAAACACTGGCTCTAAATTGGGCCTTCTGTGGGCCACTGTATTTTCTTCTACACAATTGGGTGGCTGAGCGGCAACTTCACCACTAGATGCCACTAATTCCTACACATTGGTCCTTTAAATATATCAGAACTGTTTTTAAATGAATTGCTTGATTTGCTTTTAGGAAATACACTTGTTTGGTTTCTCGCCAACAGTTAGACAAGAGGATCAGTACCAGTTTTATATCGGTCTGTGCATTGTCAGACAGGAGATGGTTAGTTTACTGTCGTAGCTGTGAATGTTGTCAACAACCAGCCGAGCCAAGAGGACAAATAGTCCTAAACTAAAACCACAACCTGTTGTTTTTATATTTGGGGTTTTTGTATAGATAAAACAAAAGAATTGTTGATCCAGTTTAGCTGTTTCCTGTATTCAGTTGTATGCTAAGTTACGATAACCAGCTCCAGCTTCATATTTAACAGATGGATGTGAGAGTAGTATCAATCTTATCATCTAACTCTTAAACAAATAAGCATATTTCCCAAGATTTATTAAACTAGTCATTCAAGTAATTTGGGGTTCAAAGGTCAAGTCAAGGTTAAGTAGAGTTTACTGACAGACCCAGGATCTACAATAAAGCTTGTCTTATTTGTTCCTGTTATATAAAGATATGTATAAATATTTTGATTTTTCATTAAACCATTTACTTCTTGTGTCTCCCATAAAGAAACATCTGTGTTTATGTTTCTCCACTCATTTATTTAGGTTTTTCTTACTAATTTCATTTTCTTATTATCGACAAATTCCAAGAAAATATCCAAACTGAGAGGATAAGAGAGGGTGTGTGAAGCACTTTGTGTTACATGTTGTGTGTATGAAAATTGTTACACAAATAAAGTCTGATTGATTGATTAACTGATATATATATATAATTTGACTGAAAATACAGTGATGTATAAACCGGTCGTCTTACTGTCTCAGTGCAGTTTAAGCACATTAAACCTCACCTGATAGTTTTGAATACTTGGCCTTCTGCTTCTCCTGCACCATCGTCACCTGCTGCTCTATCAGCTTGTCGTCCACGTCCACACACGGCTGAGCTCCGTTCTGAGTCTCCAGGTAGTCCAGCTCACGCTCAACCCGGTCCACTCGGGTCCCCACACCGTCCAGATTCGTTCTCAGTATCTCTTTCTCTTTATCCAGGTTCTCCAGCTGGGAAACCATTTGTTGCTTCAGCTCCCGCAGCTCTGAGGCATAGCGGGTGGTCTGTTCATGCCACAAAGAGATCCGGTCCTGTTTTAAAAAGAAGGTGACAAAGTTTAGCTAAGTCTGAATTTTCACACAATCGGAAATGATTGCATCTTACCTGTTTGTATTTCAGTAATGTGAGCAATACACGGGTATTTGTTTTACAGGAACTGTAAATATAGCTTTAGAAAAACTCTGAATAGGCCATAATTTAATGTTCTTTGCAGGCTTGGGAAATAGTCTGGGACATAAGAGCATAATAAGAAGGAAAATCATCCTTCAAACAACCAGGTTCAGCCCACACGTGGCAAGTATCCACCCTGCTCGAATGTCCTTTAGCAAAACACTAAACCCCATGAGCTCACTCTGTGGCAGACCCTGACCTCTGACCCCACTGCGGAGGTGACTGGGAGATGTGGATGAATATCTTGAGAGAGTTTTTGCTCTCTCTACTATAAAAATACTATAGACCTTAGAGTTTTTAATCTTTTCATACAAAACAAAACCACAATATTGAAATAGAATAACTGAATGACCAGATCCCCACAGTGAACAATTACTGGTCTTTTAACTGTTCCCTAAATGTATTATATATATTATATATATCCATCACAAATATTAGTTTCCACACAGGCAATAAATGCTCTGAAACATGTTTAATATGGCATATGTTTGAATCATGAATCATAATTATAATTTACCTGATCATCATGATAACTGTCACTCTTTAATCCAATATAGCACAACTCTTTTAAAAAAAACCTGCTTTTATATCATTTTAGGATTTTTCATAATGTAACTTTTACAAACTGCAGTTTTTGTACACACTGTGTCATTCTGACATCATACATACATATCTGGACCAATCAAACGTTTAAACTTTCTTTTTACCTCAGTCTCTTTACCCAGACAAGAAGCCCATAATCCCTATACATTTCAGAGAGCTGTATCTCAGCATTTTCCTCAGGATTTGCCCACATCTGCATTCCATTGCCTTTGCCCTGTCCCTGGAAGTTTCCTTTCAGAGGGACTCTGGAGCACAGGGCTCGGCAGGGAGGTAAAGTGTCTCTTACCTCAATAGCAAGCAGCCTCCGCTCCAAGTAGTCAATCAGTGCTTGGTGCTGAGCAGTAGCAAAGCAGGCCAAAGTAACCAATACAACAAGTCCTCTCATTTTGAGTCAGCTTGGTCTCTTCAGCTCCTGTAAAATTTGGACTGGAGCTCAGTGAGAGAGTGTGGAGGAGCCAGCAGATTCCCAGAGGTGGGCTGGAATGTTTTACTAAGCTGTCTGGGAGGAGCCAAAAACATCTGGTAGATGGAAGCGTGCAGTCTCTAAGAGAGACAGTGGTTTTTATTTCTACTTCAGCTTTCACCTGATTGACAAACTGAAAAATATGTAGTCTGATGTTTGAATGCACGTATGGCTTTGAGGGAGTCGGACGTTTTTAATTTAAAACACAGGATGTTAATGTGGCGCAGGACCACAAGTTACGTAGGAGGAAGTGTAATGTAAGTGGGAGTCTGTGAGGCACTGTCTCCTTAAGGAGAAGACCATGTGAACTGTGGATTTTAAGCAACTTCAAACCCATGTTTTAAACTCTCCAAAAGAGTAATAATGAAAAGTTCTGCGGAACACAAGATGAGCTCTGCAGACTGATTTAATTCTCTTTCTGAGCTCTAAACCAAACTGATATCTGTAGTTTGATCTAATGTGCATCATCTGACAGGACACGGGGCGGCTGTGGCTCAGGTGGTAGAGTGGGTTGTCTAGTATTCTAAAGGTTCCTGGTTTGATTCTCAGCTCCCTGTCTTGAAGTGTCCCTGGGCATTTTGATGACTATTTATTAGATGATGATTATTAGATCTGATAATTTTATTAATCCCCAGAAGGGAAACTAGTTTGATTGCCATGAGTCACAAGAGGTCTCATCTTAGGGTCACATCTGACGACACACTGCACACAGCAACACTTGTAATGCTCGCACACAAGCTGACACATATTAGACAAGGGTATTAGTGTTGCTCATGAGACCATTAAATTAAAAAACAATGTATTTGATACATTTGATCATTTAATAGCTCTAAAAACGGGCCCAATACAATGGGCAATAAATGTAATGAAACCTTATATATTATGTCAGAAAACTTCTTCAAACATCTTCAGAAACAGGTTTCACGCGTCGTTCAAAGGTTTTACAGCTGTGGGCACAAAAGACCTTCAGAATCTGTTCTGCGAAGCATCTTAATATCTTCAACTAGTCTCTCAATACACTTTTTACAATAAACACTAAACAGCCTCTAAACCGATTATTGAACCAGTCTTTTTGATGAATTAGTTTATTTTTCTTCTATCATTAATAATAATAATAATAATCAATAATGCTGTTACACTAAAATACATGGCATAAAATAACCTTGAGGATCCATCTGAAGTAGCAAGCCGTGACCATTCATGTTGAAATGTAATGAGTGGTGGAAAAGCCATAGCGCTGGAAAGAATCTATTAATAATCAAAATAATATGTGAAACTTATGTAAGAAGTTTATTTTAGAAATTCATCATTCATTCAGTATTTTTTGGTCATGTTACAGCATGTCTTCAGCCGTCCTTGTACACAGGAATAGTTGTAATAGTGGGTTTATGTCCATAGCGCAGCAAAAACAGTAGTTAGTCTGGCTACTGGTGAATTACTAGGGAAATGGGCAATAGGGATAACGCTGTCTCTGGTCTCACTTGTAATTATAAAAGCACCTTGTGTTACAAAAGTCGGAAATTACATCACTGCACACCTCTGTTTCAACAGGTTTTACTGTGTTATTCTAGTTCGCTTTAAAACAGGCTGTAGTTAATCCCAGCATACTCTTGCTCTCCCTTTGAGTTCTACAAGGTTTTTAGTCAGTTACTTTTGGCTGTTTTCAACTATATGACATAATTTCCGGCAGAGACACATTTGTGCAGACACAGACATAAAGTGTTTGTATAAGTTTGCTGTAGGTGCAGTCTGACTTTCATTCATGCTCTCGCTTGTATGATTATATGTAAATTTCCCCTGAGCATTATGGGTCATCAATTATGCAAATCAAAACAGTATTATTTTAAGTATAAACACTGAACTAGATGAACTAATACTATGGAATTGTATTGAATGTCTACATACACACAGTTTATTAACTGATCAAACCAGGACCTCTTCCTCTGGATAAAGGAATATAAAAGTCAGCTTTAAAGATATTTACTTACATTGGGGGGGAATCAGGCTGTCTGAGGGGCAGGAGCAAAAATAAATAAAAAGGTTGCGGCACCAGCACAAAGAAAGTCATAATGCATTCATGGTGAAACAGTTCCAATCCCTTTTCATCACATTTTCTCCACTAGAAGTGCACACTTATCCACCAGAGACAAAACTTGTCGCCATTTTTTTTTTCAAATGTGGCATCTTGACATCATCAGGGTTATTTTTTTCAGACTTACGAAGAGCTTCCTCCAGAGCCACAGATATAGATGGGTGACAATTTAAAGGAAAAACCAACACAAACCTCCTAGTCTCTGCAACACTCTTCATTCTCTCATTCAGTTTATTCACATCATTTCCATTCTCATCGAACCATTTAATGACTCCTCGTGTCCTGTATGAAAGCATCTGCGTTTGTCATGTTTCTCAACTGATTCATTCAGGTTTTTCCTTTAATTTGTCACCCGTCTGTATGTAGAGGCGGCTGCTCATGACAAATAAACTGAACTTCATGTTTAAAACACCAAAGCCCTGCTGTGATGGGCAGAAGAATAAGGGATCGAACTAAAAACCACAGAGAATTTAAGGTTTTAACAATGTACATGTACATGTACATTTTTATGTAATTTTATGTGTACATCAAAAGTTAAATTAAATGCTACCAAGTTAAATTTCCATGAGATCATACTAAGCCCAGGGAGATGTGTGTATATGGATCAACTTAGAATAGTGTAGCCCTGACTACCAGTGAGCTCTAGTGACACATTTTTTATATCCGAGGATCTTTTTCTGGCCCAAGTCATTTCCTCCTACCAACAGTAGTCTACTGTACAGTGTTATGACTCATTTGTAAATCTCATCTTCATACATATGAATTACACCACTAATGCTGTTGCTGTTCAATGCTTCTACGACTAAAGATCCAGTATATTAGTCATCGTTTACAATATGGTCATTGTAATTCATGGTAGTGTGAGGTGAGTTTATGACTTCTCTTTATCTGAATTTGCGCCATCATTGGTTGAGGTTTGTTTGTATAAGGACGTGTTTATTTGAATATGAAGCTTTTTTTATTATTATTCATTTGGTTTTCATTTTATTTTTAAAAAATGAGTATACAGACAAAAAGACAAAACACAAAATTAGACTGTTCTTTTGCTTTACTTTTGTAAAAACAGGATAAGATGACTAGTAAATGACATGATTGAAAGGTTATATTATGGTAGTTTCTAACAAACCAGTATGTGCGAGTATGTGAGTTCATGTGGTGTGTATGAAAATAACTTCTGTGAAGTCGGGGAGGGCGGGTCAACTAACAAAGCTCCTCTTGTTAGTTCAGAGAATTCACACAACAAACATTTGTTACTTACTATTAAACATTCTCTTGTGTTCTTACATACATGTGATTATATGTAAGTATTATGTAATTTACAGAGAATAGTAAAAAGAAATTCCTAATATTTGTTAAATAACTAGTAAAGGTGTGAAGACATATTCAGTCTGTTCATTCACGTCATCAATCATAACACATGATTCTCCCTACATTGTGGTACATGGCTGTTCTGTTCCTGGTATCAGGCTATTTGGTATCAGATCGGAACCAAATTTTGTGGTATTTTCCACACCCAGTAACAGCAGATTGTCTTTGATGTGACTTAGTTTTTCTGCCAATTTAGTCTTGGACTTCTATAACATTGTGCAACTCACAATGAACACTTAAAAGAAAAGATCAAAATCGTGCAGCAGAGTCAGAGATATTGTTTTTTTAGTTTTTTATTTAAAGGCACTAAAGCCTCAAGCAGAGATGTGGAGCGGGCTACAGAGGTTTGGTAATCTCACTTCTTTCTAGCTCCACACCCCCAGCTTCTTTAAATTTTCAAACTTGTCTTCAAAAGTCTTCAGCCCCAAGTGACCCTGACTCGAGTGACATTAAATTAAGTTCACACAGCTCCCTCTGAATCCACAAAAGCTTTTACAGAACTTTTTTCAACCCCAACAACAGTTTCACTTCAAACAAATGCATGCAATTTTGTATTTAGTTGATCAAAACTTCTTTTTGCAGTGCCAGAGTCACACACAACTAGGCCTAACCTCACAGTGTAAGTGTTAGTGTGTGTATGTGTACTAAAAATAAAGCTTGGTTACTTTTGCTACTATGGCTATTACAACTACTACTACTAATAATATTATTATTAATTAGACAAGTCATTATCTTCATGCCCAACAATTATATTAATGTGTTATAATTTACCATTCTTCTAAAAGCTCATTAACACTTTATAGAGCTTTATATATTATATATCTATCTACCCATAGCTGTAGATATTTCCTTATATGGTGCGAATTGCTACAGGGCAGAGTGGGCTGGAAGATGTATATGATGGTGCTGTGTGTGTCTGTGTGCATTTGAATATGAGTCAATCCTTTTTTTCCAGCACATTTGCCTACAGGATTTTGTGTCTTCCTCAGTGATTGGGCAGAACTCAGTGAAAGTTCTGAAACATGCAAACACAGGCAAATGTTTTAGGGGCACAAAGGGGAAGAGAGGGATGAGGGCCTCGTTTTATCAAATAGAAAAATCAGCTGTTGGACAATCATAAAGGCTCGCAGGAAAGTCTTTAATCAAAAACAACAGGTATGTTTTGTTTGATAACAAATACAATTTGAGATTTTAACATGTTCTCTTTAGGTTTCTATTTCAGTCGGCTAAATCTTATTTTGTGCAGTTTATCGAGTGAAAAAGACTAAAGATGAAAACTTTTTGAAGCAATGTCAACAATGTCTGTGTGTATACAAGGAAATTGTATTTAATGCTCCAAAAAATGTATGCCGTTGGTGTTTTGCATTAGTGATTTGATAATAATTTCCTGTTCCAGAAAAGGAAAAAACAAGCAACAAAAGTGTCATTTTTGCATCCGAGCAACATGGAGTACACATTCAGAGCAGTAACTCACACCCCTGGGATTATAATCTGGAGAATTGAGGTAATTTGTTCTAACAGTTCTTGCTGCAATAGTGAATGTGGACTGAAACTTTCCTGAATCAGTTGTTAGGTTTCACGGTAAAAAAGAAAGAAACAACAGTCTGCTACTACAGGAGGAAAAGACTCAAACAGCAGTGATGTAAAAAAAAGAATGAACAAGATTGAGAAATACCAGTTTTCGATATGACGAAGAGTTTTTGTGGTTGATATAAAAACTGAAATGGACACCTTCTTCTCTGTCTGCAACAGAAAATGGAGCTGGTACAAGTCCCAGAGAAATCTTATGGAAACTTTTATGAGGGTGACTGCTACATACTTCTGTCTGTAAGTCTGAGAAGGTGACTAATGAATCATTGTGGTTTTGGATGCCAGGGCTGCTTGTTTGTTTAGCAAAGCCCACTGTTGTATTTACAGACTTATTAATGTATTTTGCATAATGCAGAAGGAACAAAATGCTTGTAGTACATCAGACAGCATCACATACACACACACTGTTTTCTCCAGACTCAGAAGGTGAGCAGCTCTCTGTGTTATGATATCCACTACTGGATCGGCTCACAGTCCACTCAGGATGAACAGGGTGCAGCCGCTGTTTACACCATCCAGCTCGATGAGTTCTTGGGTGGCACTCCGGTCCAGCACCGCGAGGTCCAGAACCACGAGTCCGATGCCTTTAGGGGCTACTTCAAACACGGAATAATGTGAGTTAAATGTCCCCCACACTAGGCCACCATTTCTACACAGTAAACCATACAAATCATCATCCTGTTCTTGTTCAGCTTTAAGAAAGGTGGAGTTGCAACAGGTATGAGGCACGTTGAGACCAACACATATGATGTGAAGAGACTGCTTCACGTCAAAGGGAAGAAAAGGGTGATTGCAAAGGAGGTGAGCCCCTGCTTCACAGCGGTTATGTAACATTTTAGGACAGAGAAAGAGTGCTTTATGCTTTAATTTGTTTCAGGTGGAGATGAGCTGGAAGAGCTTCAACCTCGGAGATGTGTTTTTGTTGGACATTGGCAAGACCATTGTTCAGTGGAACGGACCCAAGAGTAACAAACAGGAAAAGCTTAAAGTAAGATTTCTGTGACTGTGTGGGTGCTTGTGTGTACTGCTGGGTTCACAATTCACATTATTTCACTCCTATCAACTTATTTTTCAATAATCTTACCAGTAAATACATCTGCACCTTTATTTTCCAGCGTACAATAATAACATTACAATAACTTTACCTTGTTATTGTTATTTAAAGGACACTTGCTTTGCTTTAGGTATTTCTGTTTTCAAGTCTAGTCTTCTATCTGGATGCACATGATAGTCTAACAGTAACTGGGTGCTTTCTGTCCTGCCCTCACCAGATCCAAATATGATCATTAAACCTTTATGGAAATTTGTAGGAGTACACATTCAAAGCTCATTTCATTCTTCTTGCAAAAAGGCTGGAGGCTCTGAATGATTCATTACCACACCACACACAAAACTATATAACAGCACAGCAGTGAGGTCTGAAACTTTTAGGCTGATAATGTTCTTATTCTAGGTGTTTGCATCATATTGTTTACCACACATAGTAAGTAAGTTAAATAAGTTCAGACATATTTAGCCATTAGTTAGCTTACATCTTCATCCAAGTTAAATGTCATAATAATTCCATTATAAGATGGGATTTCTTTTTAAACTTAAAAGTTTCTGACAAAGCCACATTGGAAGTTCACGATGAAAAGCAGATAAAATTAGTAGTTGGTCAACTTAGATATAACAAACTATAAAAAAAACTACCTATTACGTATAACTTAAATTGGTTCTCCAATAATTTAATGTTGCATTTCTACAAAGTTGAGAGGCAAGAGACAGATTAAAAGAGCCAGAGATATGCTGACTTTAAGAGATAAAAGTGGATCCTACATTTCCCATAAAGCAAGTTAATGGTATCTTTTGTAATACTTTCCCTGCTTGGTAAACATCTCACATATCACTTTTAAATTCTGTAGTACATTTCTTTTTTCCTTACATTCAACATCTGGTACTGATTTTTAATTTGATGCCTGAGATTTCAGAATTGTGTGTGTTTTTCTTTGTTGTACCTCTGATTCTCAGGGCATGTTGTTAGCCAAAGACATCCGAGACAGAGAGAGAGGAGGTCGGGCAGAGATTAGAGTGATCGAGGGTGAAGCAGAGAGCAATTCTCCTCAGAACATGGAGATCCTGAATGGTGCTCTTGGAGAAAGGACCTCCAAGCTGATGGATGGACCTCCAGATGAAACTGCTGACCAGGAACAAAAGTCAAAACTCACCCTCTACCAGTGAGCTGCTCCCTGACCGTGATGAGGATTCATCCATGTGTAGTTGAAGTGTCGTATGTTTCTTCATTATTTGTTTGTGTCTTCATTTCAGTGTGTCAGATGCAGATGGTCAGATGAAGGTCACAGAAGTCGCTACCAGACCACTGACTCAGGATCTCCTCAATCATGATGTGAGTTAGTGGATACACTATATATTATGGCTACAATCAAGATGGATGCCAGTGCCACTATAAAACTTGGTGTGGTTTTATTACTGTATTGCTAAAGGCCTTCACCTCTTGAGACTGGACTGCTCTTTGGACTTAAACCAGTCAAGGAGGTGAAGATAAAATAGTCAGATGGTATGAAATTATTTAGTCATGTATATTTAATGTAATTATCTCTTTAGGACTGCTACTTCCTGGATCAGGGAGGGACGAAGATCTTTGTGTGGAAGGGGAAGAAAGCGAACAAAGCTGAAAGACAGGCTGCTATGGGCAGAGCTTTGGTGAGTTACTGTACGGAGACTGCCCATTGTTCCCACAGCCCGTTATTCTGAACCCCCTAATAGTCCCGAAAAATGTCCCATTGGACAATTTTGGTCATGAAAAATATACCAACCAAGTGTGTAACACAAACTTTTAACGCTTAGACGAGGCAAAATGTGAAACTGAAACGGTGCAACTTCATGAAGAGTATGTTTTTTTTGAGCAATGAGCCTTCAGAGCAGTGGGCAATTGTTTTCAGACTAAAAGACCGTCCGAACAATGGCACGGCCCAGTCACTACATCAGACTGCCACATGTATTCTTAGCCTGTGTTTGTTTGCTCTTGCATGCCGTTACAGGTGAAATTTATTGCAGAACTGTTGAATTAGACTGCAGTAGGTGTACCTAATAAACTGACAACTAGGTTTATTTCATAAGTTGTTTCTGACTGGCTGTTATAGGAGTTCATCAAAGCTAAAAACTACCCAATCACTACAAATGTGGAGACGGTAAACGACGGGGCAGAGTCAGCTCTCTTCAAGCAGCTGTTCCAGAGCTGGACTGTGAAGGACCAGACTCAAGGTCTGGGCAAAGTGCATACAAGAGGGAAAGTGGGTATGTGTGTTCCTAAATTCACAGTGACTAAAAAAGGACCTATTGCTTCTAATATTTTTTTTATTAAAAACAGTTTCTTTCCAATCAATTATTTTGTTTTGTGACCATATTCTGCTTTAGCTCACATCACACAAGAAAAATTTGATGCCTCTCTGATGCACGTGATGCCAGAGGTCGCTGCACAGGAGCGAATGGTGGACAATGGCACAGGTCAAGTGGAGGTATCTGTGATAATTTAATCTGAATTTACTCTAAGGAAGATCTATCATCTACTGTATGACCAGGTCCCAAAACCGATGACTGAATACTGTCAGTTTCGGCTGTACATTGAGATCAGTGCTAACACAGTGTGCTATATTATAACATAATCACATTTAACATGTTCAGCATGCATGATGATGTTACCATGTTAACTGTGACATGAGTACATGCTAATGTTAGAATGCTAACATGCTATAACATATGTGAAACAGTAGTAAAATTCCTGTTAACATGCTAATCTGTGCCCAACCAGCTGAATCTGATTTGTCATAAAATGGCCACTATACAGAAAATGCACTTGTTGCTTTGTATTTCTTACCAGTAGTACAGAACAGCAAAGTTTGTTCTCCATTCTTCATCCATCCATGTTCTTCTAATGTGTGATGAGCATTACAGCCTCATGGGGTCACTAGTGCACCTACAGACTTTAAATGTAACTGAAACACACAAGAAATAAAGATGGTGCTGATGCTCTGCTCTCTGTGGTTTGTTTGAAACTATAAGCACTTCAGGCCGCAGCAGTTTTCTGCCATTTGTGATTCAGTGTTACCTTTTTGATGAGCCAAGGTGTGGAGAATTGAGAATCTGGAGCTTGCCCCTGTGGACCCTGAATGGTACGGATACTTCTATGGAGGAGACTGCTACCTTATCCTCTACACCTACTTGGTCAACAACAAGAAGTGTTACCTGCTCTATATATGGCAGGTGAGGATTTGCTGTAACACCCAGTGTCTTACATAATAATAATAATAATACGATCATACACTGAAATATAAAGTTAATTACAAGGTTGCTTATAAAAAAGTCTTTCCCTCACTGTCCCTGCTTTGGACTTATCTCTGTATTATATGATGAAATTTACTTCACCACGTATTATTTCAGGGGCGACATGTGTCACAGGATGAACTGGCAGCCTCAGCATTTCAGGCTGTGGACTTGGATCAGAAGTATGGTGGTGAGCCAGTTCAAATGAGAATAACAATGGGCAAAGAACCAAGACACTTTATGGCGATTTTCAAGGGTAAAATGGTCATCTTTGAGGTACGACTGTTGACTATATTTAAAATCACTTCTTTGGAAACATTCTGCTTCATTACATTCTACAGGCTTTTCAATACGATGATTATATTCTCTACTTACAGGTGTTTACAGTTTTTATGACAGTACAGAAGATTTTTTCTTTCTTCTGTTAGGGGGGCACGTCTAGAAAAGGGTCTTCTGATCCAGAACCACCGATAAGGTTGTTCCAGGTCCACGGTTATGACCCATCCAACACAAAAGCCATTGAGGTTCCAGCGCTGGCCACCTCTCTCAACTCCAATGATGTGTTTTTACTAAGAAGCCAATCAGGAATGTATCTGTGGTGTGGAAAGGTAAAGATGTTAACATCAGATAGAGAAACTGAACTAACAATAGAATACAATACTTTTTGTATTTTATGTATTTAAGTATGTCAACATTTGTGTTTCTGCAGTTACAGAAAGGTAGAACATATAGAAATAATGGCCAAAAGTATTTAGAAACTTTTGTACACTTCCTCTTTTCATTTTTTTAACTACGCACCTCAGACATTTAAACCTTAATGCTCCAGAGTACAATGATATTTAATTAAATTAACATTTTGGAGAAGACCCTTTTCTGTGTCAACATGACAACGCCCTGACAACTGGCCTGTACAGAGCCCTGACCTCAGCCCCATCAGACACCTTCGGGATGGACTGAGCCAGGCCTTATCGCCCAGCATCAGTACCTGACCTCACTGATGCTCTTGGGGCTGAATGGGAACAAATCCCTGCTGCTAGGATCAAAACTCTACTGGAAAGTCTTCCCAGAAGAATGGAGAATATATTGTTATTCAGTTGTATATGGGGTGTAATGTCTGGGTGTCCACATACTTTTGATCATAAAGTGTACTATACCAAGACAGGAAGGACCTGGTTCAAGCCTGTCTGGCAGCAAACATCTGCCCTGTGGAAGTTTTCTTTGGTCAAACTATTTTGATCAAATTAGGTCGTAATGTCCATGACAAAATAGCTCACCGCTTTTTGTCACCAGGGATCGAGTGGAGATGAGAGAGCCATGGCAAAGGAGGTGAGCTCTGTGATTGCCCAGAACTCCCAGAGAGGCTCTGAGGAGATTGTGGCGGAGGGTCAGGAGCCCATTGAATTCTGGGAGTTGCTTGGAGGGAAAGCTCCCTACGCCAGTGACAAGAGGTGATGATGACACAAATATGATGCTAATATTTACAAATGAGCTTTGTGAGTGTTACAGCGACAGTAATGCACTTGTTGACTGCAGATTACAGCAGATGGTTTCAGACCACCAGCCACGCCTGTTTGAATGCTCAAATAAGACGGGCCGCTTCATCGTGACCGAGGTGACTCAGTTCACGCAGAACGACCTCTATGAGGATGATGTCATGCTGCTGGACACATGGGACCAGGTACGAGGTGTTTGTGATGAATGTATATGTATTTATATATATTCATACTGCCATGTTACTTAGGTAAATCTTAATTGAGTTAAATCCATTCTGGCTTTTTCTCATGGTTGGTTTCAGCTGTTTCTCTGGATCGGTAAAGATGCCAATGAGGTAGAGCGTAAAGAAGTGGTGGTCACGAGCCAAGAGTACCTGCGCACCCACCCGGGGATCAGAGACCCGGACACCCCCATCGCCATGATCAAGCAAGGATTCGAGCCACCCACCTTCACTGGGTGGTTCACAGCCTGGGACCCCTCCAAATGGAGCGTGAGTGTTTAGAAATAGAGAATCAACTTGTACATTGATGAGTGACAAACATACATTGACTAACATGTCCTTCTTGTAGGGAGGAAAGAGCTACGAGGACTTGAAGAAGGAGTTGGGAGATGAAGTGTCCCCTGTTAATGTTCCAACTGTAACTATAAGTCATTTTCATTTTTTGAGCTTTTTAGGGAACAGACATTGTGTCTGATACAGTGGTTAGCAACATTTTACTGTTCTTCTTCATGCACAGGTTACATTTGGGATAAAGTTAATTAGGTTATATATATATATGTAATTTACTGCCACTGTCAGTCACTGTACTAGAGCGCTACAGCCCACCAAACTCCATTTACAAAAACACTAATTTTACCTTGCAGACACACTTCAAGCTGGATGGAAACTGGATAAAACTCACCAAAACCATCTTTGTTAGTCTTTCTACTGCTGTTGTCAAACATTGAATATGTATAAGAAGTCAGTAGTCAAAAACTTGCATTAATAAAGTATTCTACTTATCTATCTCCCATCCTCCTTCCAACACTTGACAATGTGTTTTAAGAGTCAATTCAAAGCCACAACAATAAGTGATATATTGATTAAAATATAATACATTGATGAAGAATCTTAACCAGAACTTTAATGTGACTTTATAGGAGCCGAACTGTGTTGAAAGTGAGAAAAGCTTTCAGTGTTTTCCACCCAACGCTTTGGTCAACAAGCTTGCCAGCGAACTGCCTGAAGGTGTTGACCCAACAAATAAAGAGGTAAATGTGTGTGTGTGTGTGTGTGTGTGTGTGTGTTTTGTTATTTTATAGAGTGAAATATAGCCCTCTACTAACAGAAGGTGATGTACTGTATAACTTATGGAAAATAGCACACACTCTATCAAAGTGAAGCTTAATTTGGAGCTTTTAAACATTCACTATTTAACAATCATAAAGTAAAATAAAGCAGTTCCCTCCAAATGCCACATGAAATTATCCAGAGTGGAAATTATGAATTTGGTAGCACTCCATTTTTGGAGGATATTCCTTCAAAGAAAAGCTCAGTTTAAAACCAAGAAAAGATTACTTAATTATATTTTTTTGTTGGAAACCTCATTCTTCATATGTTGAATTGTAAGCCATCTGTGTAGTTATGCTTAGCCAAGCAGCTGTCTCTATTTTCCCTATAATTAGTATGAAATTACGTAGTTAGGAAATTATTAGAAAATGATGGACCCATAAAACAAAACTTTAGCATTATTTGTCTCTAAAGTCTTCAAGTTCAGTTATTATTCAGGAGTCACTCATTTATTAACAGTTAACTTGTTTGAACCATGATGCTTTGCTGCTGTATAGCATCAGTGATAAGATGTTTACCTTGTAGAGCAGATGTGTTCAACACCAACTCAAGTAAAAGAAAACTGCCTTGTTGCTCATTTGTTTTCAGAAACACCTCTCTGACTCTGACTTCAACGCCGTGTTTGGAATCACTAAAGACAACTTTGCGAGTCTGCCGCGGTGGAAACAACTGAGCATGAAGAAAGAAAAGGGGATGTTTTGATTATATATTTTCTGTACTTTGTACACTTGTACTGTTAATAGACAACAGGAGGTCTCTCTTTATCTCTCTACAATTACTGACTTTCCACTTTGGCTCAATCTCCTTATTGAAGACGGGACTAATGTTTGTGTCTTCTCCTTATTGTGAGTCATACTGTTGTTTCTAACCCCTGTAATACAAGTCTTGAATACTTTATTATTTTTTAACCTGTGCTATCTCTTTATATTTGACACCATTTGATGAAGAGGTCTTGGGGTAATATTATGTGTACTGTCAGTATGAGACATTATAAACTGTATTGCTCATTCTGCTGTGTGTGTGTTTCTGTGAAATAACATCATCTCCTCTATATTGAGACATCAGAATAATCCTATGATGAAGAATTTATATCCCTTGTTAAAGTGCAATACAAACTTATATGATAAAAGACCAATTAGACATTAAAAAGTATTTATGAATACCAGAGCTGTAAATGGGTAAAATACATATAATTCAAACTCAGTGTATATAACATTTATGTAACTTTCATTAACTCTGAGCTCACTCATGATAAGATGTATGTTGCCATCTGTTGGACAAATAATGTAACAGCAGGTCAGGCCAAAATATTTCAGGCAAAAGAATTAAAAACTTATTCAAACATCTTGAAAGGGAGAAAGTGACATTTGATTTCAAGTTTATATCCAAACCCTTTAGTGACCACCAAAATTCTCCAGATTTTTAGCATCATAACTGTCCAGATATCTGCGTGGAAAGTGGAAAACTCAAAATAACTAGTTACTAAACTAAACTAGTTCACCCAGTCACTTCACTAACATCTTTACAACAGAAGCGGAAGAGGAGTCTTAATGAATTTCTCCCACATCCCTGCATTTGTTCCAGGTAGTTGGTATTAAAAGTCGGCCGATTCCTTTATTACTGCAGTCATGAATATTTTAAATGTCAAAACAAATGACCACCCAGTGTCAGCGTTATTCACTCCTTTTATTTTGATATGTCTGGAATGTAATTTCACTTACAAGTATAAAGTCATTTACCGTTACAGCTGAACATTTAATACAAAGCTCAGGACAAGTCAAAAATATCTAGACCCATGAAACGCATCAAATTACAGTAAGAACATATTTTTTGCATTGTTGTATGAAAATGAAACACAAAAACTAAAATCTAATTACTAGATGAACTGTCGAAAAGTCACTTATGAAAATAAGGCTGAACAGCGCCAGTGATATTGTGACAATGAAGAAAGCTTAAATCGATAACAGTAACAAACCGATTTCCCATCAGGTTTTGATCTGACAGGAAATTAATTGGAAAATAAAAGAACTGTTGAATAAACAACATAGACAACCAGTGATTGTTGATGTTCATGTAGAAATATCTGACCAGCGCTGGTTGCAAATTGTTCAAGAATTGAAAACAGTACTACAGTAACAGTACTACAGTAACAGTACTACAGTAACAGTAGCAATACTACAGTACAACAGTACTACAGTTACAGCATTACAGTTACAGCATTACAGTAACAGCATTACAGTAACAGCATTACAGTAGCAGTTAACAGGCTCATTTTGTGGAAGAAAAAGCATTTCATCTGAGCTGCTTGTGCATCATGGCAGCGAGCACAACAGATAAGTATTAGCATGTGTGCCAGCATTATGTTTAAAATAGGCCTGTGTGATAGAAGTAATAAAAAAAGACAAATGAGTAAATACAAACATTAATATGCTGCCATAAACCCACTGCTACTACAGTTACTACATAAATGTAGAAACTGTAATAAAATAAAACCATAAATCTGTTCATATTGTTCCTCTTTTGTTTTCTGTATGAGAAAAATCAACATTACAATTTCCATTTTAAACATTGTTAGTGTCACATGATATGTTCCCTCAAAACTGAAATTATTTGTTAGCTCCGCTAAAGGTCCACCATGAAAACAAACAAACAGTGAATGTGAGTGATACATTATTTTGCAAACAAAATTAAAATTGAAAATCCCTTCAAAACGGTACTTTTGCAGTAAATAACTTCGATCAAAGGATTATTGAATATATATGTGTGAAAGTACTGCGTGCAAAAGTACTAATAATGACACACAAGTCGTGTTCAGTTTGGAAATCAATATACATTCTTCTTAGGTGCTCATGCAAACTAACTCAAATGAGGTGAAAGGGTCTATTCTTGCCTCAAGCATAAAAAAGAACATGTAACATTGTAAAAAATAAACAGTAAAAATTGCGATTAAATTGTGTAAAAGTGTATACAGCAATCATCCAATCATCCAAAGAGACTAATTTCAGCAAGTTTCACTGCAAATGTGCAAACATACAGTATTACCATGCAGAACACAGCCTGCAGCAGGTCAGCTGATTGTTTCTCACTGACGTGTTTGGTTATAAAGGGAATGTTGTTTCTAATGTAATCGGACAAACATTTATGCCACAATACAAGCTTTAAAAGTGCAAATGCAGCTGAATTAATTTCCCTAAAGTCAAAATAAAAAAACAGGATAAAGAGCTGTATATGAAAGATTAAAAAAATAAATGTTTAGGTCAATAGATGGCATTTTCCCTTACTTAAAAAAATTCTGCTTTTGATTCATTGCTTCCTATCTTATCTTCCCAAGACTGATCAAACGTGTCCCTCAAACAGACGAAATATCTTTAAATGCAGTGAACAGCAGTTGAATGTCTGAAATCTTCAGACTGCATAAAGTCCAGACTTATAATATGTAGTAATAATTGGAGCCAAAACAGCAACAGCCCAAATAGCTCTCTGTGTTTTGTCTACAGGTAAATCCTGGCAGCTGTTAGTATACAAACCACCTTTCTTAAAAAGATTACCAAAGAGGTAAATGGTCGAAGCAGCATGGAGTATTTTACATGTCTATCCACGTATTTAAAAAGGTTAAGACATTAAAAGAAATGATTGGCAATTAACATAAAGTAGTCATTAATGGAGTTTGAGCTAGTAAGCCATCTGGATCCTGAGTTCCTTTGTTGTGAATTTAAACCTGAAACTTACTACAGTGTGTTACAATTAGGGCTGCAACTAACCATCATTATCACTTAAGCTGCCGATTATTTCCTAATTTCATTTGTTATAAAATCACAATTTCCCAGAGTCAAAAGTGGTCTTTAAATTCTTTCGTTGGATATATTTTAACATATATGATGAAGAGAGGCAGCAAATCCTCAGATTTAAGAAGCTGAAACCAGAATTTATTTTGGCATTTTCTTCTAGGCACAAAAAAATATTTTTTGATTGATTTTCTTTCGATCAACTATTTGATTAATCAGCTGCTATTTGGAGCTCTAATTACAGCTCTAAATGTTACTGTTGGCCTTTAAGTTTTTCAAAAACATAAAAATATCAGATGTGTGTAAACTGCAAATCAAAGAGCTTCTGAATTACACCAAATGATCAATAATTAAATTTTTCCCAGTAGTAGATAAAACAGATTAATTAAGACACAACACAAGCGTCTGGGTTTTTGGGGTCTTGGGTCTCGCCGTCAGTCACCTGGCAGTTGTTGGTCGAACTTTTCTCTTTCTCTGAATCGTGCAGCAACTCCAAAGGATCCGCTCCATCCGGAAACATCCTTTCCTGCTCTGGAGTGTCTGCAGACGCATCCTCGTAGGCACTTATGCTGTCTGAGTCGTTCCTCTCTGGAGAAGGATCTCGTTCCTCCTCAACACCGTTTTCGCAAGGCCTCAGCAGGACCCCGTCTTCAGAGATGGGGTTGTCCAGGGCGAGAGAGGGCAGGTGGATCAGGGGCTTACTGACCATCTTCCGCAGCTTCGTCAGGAGGCTTCCTTTATCCCCCGCCTCCTCACCCTGTCCCACTTCCTCTGACGCTCTACCTTGGCTTTCACTGGTGTCTTCACACAGCGACGAGTCTTTGTCTTCTCTGTGTGCGGCTGTCAGCAATTCTTGGTGTTCTTGTCTCGTTACCTCATCCACACTTCCGTGTGTACTCGCTGGAGCGGACGGTTTGTTATTGCTCTCCTGCAGAGAGAAATGTAATTGTCAATAAGAAAATTAACATTAAACAAACTATAGTTGCTTAGTTATTTTGTTATTATTTTGTTTAAAGTTGCCAGATTTGTGAATGTAAAGCCATCGCTACCAATACGGAAGCAAAAACAATCCATGAGAATGTTTGTTTATAAGCAACTGAATAGATGATTTTGAAATTGAATCACTAATAAATACTTAATGTTGAACATTAAACATCGCTCAATTTATGATACTGCAATATTTATTATGCGTCAATTCCCCTCATCGACTGATAGAACTTAACCAACAGAACAGAAATTGATTGATTGATTGATTGATTGATTGATTGATTGATTGCCCAAAAGTTCAAGTTTGAATATTGGTATTTTGGAAACTTTTTTTCATTAATTCATCATTCATTCATTTATTTATTAATCATTAAATGTCATACTTTAAAGCTTTGAAGTGCTTATGAATTTAATCCATATGGCTTTTCTTTACCTCTATACTCGGCTCAACTACTTCTGTGAGGCAAGATTTATAAATGCTGAATGAACTGCTCTGAGTTTGTTAGACATTATTTCCCAGGGAATACGCCATTGAACATCTCATTTCACAGTAAATATCATTTGTTTATGTGCAAATTCAATACTGTATGTCCATTATTTCCAATGAACAAACTAAAAAATAAAAAAAATACACCATGAGCAACTGAGTATAACATTACAGCACATTATGTACTGTCATAGCAAGTAATATAGTTACTTATTAGAATAACTCGGCACAGAAACAATAGCTTAGATATCAAGAAAAAACAAATCATGCACCATCTCCATTATTCACATTCAATAAGAAGTGATCACACTCCTGACAAACTGTTATATCACAGGCTTTATGTCACATTTATCCAAAAACCTTGTGCTTCTCGAACGTTGTGTAATGTTCTTCTAAATGTCACATACCTCTTTTAATCTCTCCACCTCTTGCATCAGAGAGCTGACCATGCTCTCCAGTTTCTTCTTGGCCTCCCTCTCTCGTTCCAGCTCCTACAAGTGCAGAAGCGTTAATGAGAGGACCGGCAGCTTGTTAGTGTCATATTTTATTACGAGGAACAAAAATAAAACTTCTCATCAAAATGATGAAGACTAAAACGTGTCTAATACGTGGCTGAAGTGGGGTGTTTATGTGGCCTCAACGTACCAAACTAGCCTGTCCAGCTTCCCTCTGGGCCTCAGCCAGGAGCTCCTCTACACCCTCCAGCGTGTCCTGCAGGACGTCCACCTGGAACAACAGAGC